CCTTCCTTCCTTCCACCCTTCCTTCCTTCCTTCCTTCTTTCCTTCCTTCCTCCCCCCCCCCCCCCCCCCCCTCCCTCCCCCCTCCCCCTCCTCCTCCTCCGCAAATCCTGCTGCTCCAACACCGACAAACACTCCGAGTGTGTGTGTGTGAGAAAAGAGAGAGAGGGAGGGAGAGAGAGAGAGCTGAAGCTAAACTGACACCCGTGCGCCCTCTGTATGTATGTATGCACACACACACACACACACACACACACACACACACACACACTCAGGGCCGTAGGTGAGTCCGGATGTGTGTGTGTGTGTGAAGAGCAGTGATCGTCACAGCTGTAGATCTGACGTCATCAATTCACCGACTTAACTTCAGAAAATCTCATTTAAAATAAAACAGTTTCAGGGGCTACACGGTGGCTCAGTGGTGTGTGCTTCTGCCTTACGGTGGACTCAGGAACTGTCCCGGTGTAACCCCGCCCCCGTGACTGCTGTGATTGGTTCCTGTTCCTCTCTCAACATCCAGTTGCAAAACATTCAACTCAAGACCAAAACTGATTCTGTCAGAAAACATTGAAACTCTGAAATATCGCGATATTCCAGTTCCTGATCCCAGATCAATGTCCTCAGTCATTGATCAGTGATTGACTTTTTTTCACAGTCCAGATTTTTTCCTGGTGTTGGTTGATGTTCTTTTTCTTTTCTTTCTTCTCTGGTGATTCCCAGTGCGACACAGGCTGCCATTAAAATATGTGGCTCCTCTGGGGATCGAACCCACGACCCTCTGCATGTTAGGCAGTATAAGGGGAGGCTGGAAAAGAACATTTTTCAGCATCAAACGTGGTCTGTTTGATTCAATAATCCTCTCATCCAATCGCTGTAATCCTTCAACAACCAGCAGCTGAGATTTATTTTTAATCCTTAATCCTCGTCTTCAACTCTTAATTCCAGATTACAGGCTTTTTTCATCATCCGCTGCCACAGGACCAAAGCATCATGGGAGTTGTAGTGATGTGGACGTGAGGATTAGCCAGAGTCTGTGGAGAACAACAACTGAGAGAAGAAGAAGATGAAGATGAACGGGCAGCACGGTGGAACAGTGGTCAGGGCTGTTGCCTTACAGGTTCGATCCCCTGTAGTGAACGATGTCTGGAGGTTTGAAGTAAGAAAACGTGATCCGACCGTGAACCGACTTCACTCAAGCTCATTACTACCACCTACTGGTCTGGAGTGTGTACAGTGTCCACTTCTTACACGACGTCTACTGTAGTGAAGGGACAGACTCCCACTTTGACCTTTGACCTGAACACACACACACACACACACACACCACGGAGCAGCAGAGACTGACTCCACCTCCACACGTCCAATTCTCCCAGCAGCGCCCACTCCCATGCACACACATGCATCTAATGGCCACAGAATGACGGGTGGGGGGGGGAAGTGGGGGGGCGGGGCCCTGTAACGACACAGTCATGTGGTCGTGATTACAGGAGGCAGTGACAGTGATCCATTAGTGCTGCCTGGCTAACACTCTGGTCTGTGTGGAACCTGTTATTATGCACTTATGAGTGCACGTGTGAGTGTGCACGTGTGAGTGTGCACGTGAACAGAACAATACATGTTGAACTGAAGCAGAATGAGCAGTGATTTAAGGCTGAACACCTGCAGACGGAGGACGGAGGACCAATCACTGACAAGGGGTAGTTGTTACTGATGTTACTGTTCCTGCTGCTGTTACTGATGGTACTGCTGTTACTGCTGGTTCTGTTACAGCTGTCGTAACTGCTGCTGCTGTTACTGTTACTGATGTTACTGCTGGTGTTACTGATGTTACTGTTACTGCTGCTGTTGTTGTTGCTGCTGTTACTGATGCTGATGTTACTGCTGCTGCTGTTACTGTTACTGCTGGTGTTACTGATGTTACTGCTGGTGTTACTGATGTTACTGCTGTTACCGCTGCTGTTACTGTTACCGCTGCTGTTACTGTTACTGCTGTGGTAACTGCTGCTGCTGTTACTGCTGGTGTTACTGATGTTACTGTTACTGATGTTACTGTTACTGCTGTGGTAACTGCTGCTGCTGTTACTGTTACCGCTGCTGTTACTGTTACTGATGTTACTGCTGTAACTGTTACTGATGTTACTGCTGTTACCGCTGCTGTTACTGTTACTGTTACTGTTACTGTTACTGCTGGTGTTACTGATGTTACTGTTACTGATGTTACTGCTGCTGCTGTTACTGATGTTACTGTTCCTGCTGCTGTTACTGCTGCTGTAACTGTTACTGATGTTACTGTTCCTGCTGCTGTTACTGCTGCTGTAACTGTTACTGATGTTACTGCTGTTACTGCTGTTGTAACTGCTGCTGCTGTTACTGTGTTACCAGGGGCACAGTGCGGGGGTCCAGGGTCCAGGGTCGGGGCCTGTAGCCGTGCCGTTGACTTGATGTTGCTGTGACTTCCTGTGGCCTGCAACCAACCACGTGGTCTACAGACCAAACAGTACAGACCACATCAGTCTGGTCTGTATCAGCCTCAGTAATGTAGACCAAACAAAAGATAAGTAAGAAGTAACGGTCACCACGTACCGTGTACTACTGCATCTAAAACCAGGAAGTGGAGCGACACCAGGACATGGGAATGTTTTTCCATCGATGACCTCAGGCCTCGTCGGTCATCAAAACATTTTTCCTTTCGTATCAAAAACTTTCTTCTTCTTCTTCTTGGTCATGTGACCAGCTGAATGATCTGCTTCTGGCTGCGTCTCACTTTCTCTCTCATTAACCGCTCAGGTCGTCAGGAGTCGACCGAGGCCGACCTCACCGCTCCGTCAATGACCTTTGACCTCTGATGGCCGCTACGCTCTAACTGCCGTGTCAGTGTCTCGGGTCGGGTTTAAGCGTGTTTGAAAAATGTCAAACACACTTCCCTCTCTGCACACACACACACACACACACACACTCGTCCCTCTCCTCTGATCCAGCTCCAGGTCGGTGACCTCTCTTTGACCTTTAGGCCATGATTCTCTCACTTTCATGTGTTGTTTTAGGGCCTGAGCAGCGACCTGTGTCAGGAGGCGACTGCTCCTCTCCTCCTCCTCCTCCTCCTCTTCTTCTGTAAAGGAGCACAGTCACGGTGTTAAACTGCTGAAGTCTCAACTACAGATGCTAACAGTGAAACTTACCCAGCGCTAATGCTAACAGTTAGCCTGTTTTTATGACGAAACGCTGTACTTTTCTGTGTTACTTCTGCTTCTTAGAATTCTGTTGACTTTGGGGTTTCAAACCCTCAGGCCTGTGGCCCAGCGGTCGCAGTCGGAGGTTGTTTTGGTCTGGACATGACT